CTCCCCCTCTTCGTCCTCCTCCTTGTCGTCCTCCTCCTTCCCCCCTCCAACTTGTGGTGGTGGTGGTGGTGGTGGACAGGCGCATCAGAAGGGGGGTGGGGCATGCCATGCTAGCGACCTTGCCAGAAGCAGCCTCCCAGCGACGACCCTGAGATCTGGCCCTGCTTCGGGCGCCAGGACCATCGCGGAGCGATCCAGCTCGAGAGCTGCTGCAGAAGGATGGGGCCTGGGGCCCCCCCGGGGCCATGCGCGAGAGCCTGCCGGAATCTGGATCGAAGCGCCCTCTGTGCGCCCAGATTCCGGCCCGTCTGGGGACCCGGGGGGGGGGCTCTGGCAGCCCTCGCGCTCCCTCAGCTTCGCCCCTCCGAGCGCCATCGGCGCCGAGGGCTCGCCCCCGCGCGCACGCGGGAGGCGCTCCGGGCATGGCCTCGCCGTCGAGGCATCGAGAAGCTGATGCCTCTCTCTCGGCGCAGGGCGGCGGAAGGGCGGCGGAAGGCGGCGGAGGGCGGCGGACGTGCAACGGAGGCGGGTCCGCCGGCGGGAGCCGGCGGAAGCAAAAGGTGCGCCCGCAAGAGATGACAACACTGTTGGGTTCATTGTTTCCGGAACCCGCCGCGCGGGAGGCGTTCCAAGCAAGGCCTCGCCGTCGAGCGATTCGCGGGGAACTTTGGCGTTGGCGACGACGGCGATGAGGACGACGACCACGACCACGAACACGAACACGAACACGAACACCAACACGACGACGACGACGCCGACGCCGACGCGGACGCCGGCGCCGACGCCGACGACGACGACGACGCCGACCACGAACACGAACACGAACACGAACACGACGACGACGCCGACGCCGACGCCGACGCCGACGCCAACGACGACGACGACGACGAACACGAACACGAACACGAACACGACGACGCCGACGCCGACGCCGACGCCGACGACGACGCCGATGCCGACGCCGACGACGACGCCGACGCCGACGCCGACGCCGACGCCGACGCCGACGCCGACGACGACGACGACGACGACGACGACGACGGCGGCGGCGGCGACGGCGACGGCGACGGCGACAGCGGCTGCGACGGCGGCGGCGGCGGCGCAAAGCAGCGGCGGCAGCTGGCGCGGTCGGGAACTTTGGCCTCGCGGCGTCGCGCGTTGCTCCGCTGGGTCCCGGCCCGCCATCCTGCGCCGCGGCACGCTGTGACCTGCGAGGTGGCAGCAGGCCGCTCCGCTCCGCGGGGCGGGGCGGGCTGCCCCCCCCCCTCCCGCGAGGATGCGGACGTCGGCGCTCCGAAGGAGTTCCTGAAGGCCGGGCGGCCAGGGCTGCTGTCGCTGCTGCTGCCCCAGACATGTTCGCGTCGCGAAAAAGTCTGAACGGGCGTTTTGTTTGTTTTGTGGTCAGTTTTTTTTGTTGTTGTTGCAGTTTTCGGCTTCTCGGGGCCCTGGCGGGGTCCAGATGCCGCCAAGGAACGGCTCCGGAGGAAAAGCATGTCCCGGGGAACGGGTCAGGACTTCCGGGGGCGCCCCGTGCGGCCCTCGGAGGTCGATAAAGCCCTCCAGATTTCCGAGGGCACGATCTGTTCAATCCGGGTGCTTTTCCCCGACTTCGGCCTCTGGGGCCCGCTTGCAGGCCCTGGGACCACCAAGCACGGATCTGGGACGCACAGCCACCCTCGGGGAAGGTCGGCCACGCGTAGAGGGGGGTGGGGGGAGGGGGGAAGGCTACTTAGAGGCACCCTTGCTGCGTAGAAGGCGCGGGCCTGCTCTGTAAATGTAAGGCCCGCGCCTTCTAAGAAGCAGCCTCCTTCTAGGAAGCCTTCCCCCTCCCCCTGCCCCCCTCTGCGCGCCGCCGAGAAGGGGTCGGGACCTTGTGGGGCCGCGGATTTTCAAAGATCAGACCGCGGACGTCGGGGGCCCACCTTGCCAGGCCGATCCGCGTGTTGTCGGCGTCCCCCCAACATGCTCGTGCTATGTGTGCGTCGCCCCCCCAGGGGCGACGCGCGCACCGAGGAATCTCATAACTATGTGCGTCGCGGCGGGCGCTTTCTGGCCACACCGCTCGGGAAATGACCTACGATCTACTACAAGATGGGTACACTATATGTTCGGGGTGTCCGACGCGCGCCTCCAAGGAGGACATATAGCACTAGTGTGTCCCTGTGCGTCCCAGCCCACCCCGCCGGGCCGATCCGCGTGTTGCCCCGTGATCCTATCGGTCCTCGAGGGGGCGTTTTTCGGCCGCAGTCTCTGTGGGCCTGCGCCCGCCTGGGCTGGCCCCAGGTCGTCTCCATTCACCCTGCGTCGGGCGTGTCCCTCAAGAGGAGGAAAATTCAAATAGTCAAAAAATAGTGTGGGGATTATTCCTGGAGTATTTTTTGACTATCTGGGGATATGTTTTGAGTATTTCTTATTTTTCGCCCAACATTCCCCTGTAGGGGGACAGGCCCGACTTACCCTTAACCTTGAGTCGGGCGTGTCCATCTACAGGAGGAATATTCAAAGCTAGCCAAGACATAGTCAGGGGACGATTTTTATTTAAAAACTACGTTTGAATCCGTTAGAGTTTTTTTGTTTTTTGTTTTTTGTTTTTAATCTAATTTTTTCGTCCAAAACCCGCCAGTAGGAAGGCATGCCCGGCCTGACATCAACCCGACGGGAGAAGCACGAGGACCATGGCCAGCACGTCGCGAGAGCCCGTCGGTGGCGATCTTCTCGTCATATGCTCCGTGCCGGCCGCCGCCGACCCGCGAGGCGGGTCGGCGCATCGGCCGTGACCAAGACGGACGGTGGCCAAGAGGATGGGCACCGACGCCGTCGCGTGTTCGGTCTTGCTCGTGGTCATCATCTGGATCTCAGAGTGGCAGACCACCCACTTGGGCAGCTGCTAAGCGACGCTCTCGTCGGGGGCAAGCCGAAGGACGACGGGGACATGATCAAACGGCTCACGACGATGGCTGAACAGACCCGCAGCGGAGCTCCGAGGATGAAGACCCAGGAGAACAGAACTGGGAAAGCTGGACTGGAAGCTCTGGGCATGTGGCTGGCGTGGCGGCGTGGCCTGGCTGCACGGCAGGCTTGGCTGCACGGCAGGCTTGGCTGCATGGCAGGCGGGCGCGCCCCGTGGCCCTGCCGGGCAGGCGACGCCCCGTGTGGCGGATGCCGTCCTCCTCCTCCTCCTCCCCTCCTCCGCCTCCTCCTCCTCCTCCTCCTCCCTTCCTCCTCCTCCTCCTCCCTTCCTCCTCCTCCTCCTCCTCCTCCTCCCTTCCTCCTCCTCCTCCTCCTCCTCCTCCTCCCTCCTCCTCCTCCTCCTCCTCCTCCTTCTCCTCCATCTCCTCCTCCTCCCTCCTCCTCCTCCTCCCTTCCTCCTCCTCCTCCTCCTCCTCCTCCCTCCTCCTCCTCCTCCTCCTCCTCCTCCTTCTCCTCCATCCCTCCTCCTCCTCCTCCTCCTCCTCCTCCTCCCTCTCCTCCTCCTCTGTTTTCTCCAGGCCGCCGCATCGCCCGTGCATCGCTGATGCGGCCCGAGGTTCTCGGGCCGAACGAAGGGGGGGGTAGGGAAAGGGGGGGTTACGAAATCTGCTGCATGCAGCTGGTTTCGGCCCCGCCGCCGGGCCCATTCCTCGATACATGGGCGCCTCCCGTCACCGGGAGGCGCTGTGAAAATCAGCTACGTGAGCTGATTCTCTACCCTGTCTTTTGTTATCCCTCTGTTTCGTTCCCCCCGATGTTCACTACCTACCAAACCACCCCAACCCAACCCGAAGGCCTCAATTTGCCTTCCGTTTCCAGTGTGTGGGGGGGGGTCGGGGAGTATCGGAAAAACACGCACGGAGCCCGTACCCCCCCAACCCGAAATTCGGGTCTTCGGGTTGGGTTGAGGTGGTCTGGTAGGTAGTCAGATGTGGGGCCAGATTTTTACAGCGCCGGCGTCGCCGATGCACCGCCGACGCACCGCCGACGATGCATCGGCAATGCGTCGGTGACGCCTCGGCGATGCAGCGGCGATGCAGCGGCGATCCTCCGCCCTACCAGGACCCCATCTGGGAGGCATCCATCTTCTGCCTCCTGCTATCGCTCCATGGGCTGATTCCGTTAGGCCTGCCGACCCCCAGGTCATATCCACGGCGTTCCTATGATTGGAGAACCAGTCGCGGGTGGGTGCTGGGGGGGGGGTGCGCGGGGGGCGATTTTCACGCTTGAGGGGTCTTCCATCACGATACCGCGTGGAGGTCACAGAGAGCAAATGCTGCAGAATTGCAGAGGGACCGTGGGCGGAGTGCTTTTTCCTTCCTCTGGTCATCACCCCCATCTCTGTGGCGCCCGATGGTTCTCGGGCCACGCCTCGGGCCTCTATAGCGGCCCTTTCGGGACGATCCGGGCGCCCCGGAACGCTCTCGGCGAGGCGCAGCTGCTGGAAGGCATCCCGAAGCTGGAAAGCCGCCGGGAGCCGACGAGCATGTCCGTACACCTTGAACCTTGAACCTCGAAGCTCGAGCCTCCTATTCCCCCCCCCCCTGGTCATCCCCCCGAAGGTCGAGCGGCTGAACGACAAGCTGGACTCGTTCAGCTTCTCGCTGCAGAAGGAGATCGGCGCCACCCCAACATACGTATACTGCATGTGCGTCGCCCCCCCCCCCCCCCCAGGGGCGGCGCGCGCACCGAGAACTCTTACAGCATATGCGTCGTGGCGGGCACTTTCTGGCCACACCGCTCGGGAGACGATACGCCACAAGATGGATATACCATACGTTCGGCTCGGGCGCGCGCTTCCAGGGTTAAGTCGGGCCTGTCCCTCTACAGGGGGATTATTCGAAAGTAGTTAAAACATAATCTTTTTCTATAGATACAAAAATTAAAATACATTTGTTTGTCTTTGTTTTTTTTGTTTTTTTTGTTTTTTGATTTTTCCATTTTTTGTCGAAAATCCCCCTTTAGGGGGACACGCCCGACTTAACTCCAGGGAGGACATGTAGTACTGGCATGTCTCGGCGCGTCCCAGGAGACCGAGTCGCCCGCCGCCGCGCTCGCGGCCGCCCGGCGCAGGGACCTCCAGCGGCGCTTCGGGGAGGAGATCGGCGCCCTGGGGGACGAGCAGCTGGCGGCCCTCGTCGAGGCGGCCGCCTGGAACCCTCCGCCCTTGGTTCGCCTAGCCAGGCAAGCATCTCCTGAGGACCACTGCCCCTCTTCATCCACCCCCTCCACAATTACTCAATATGAATACTACTCTCCCTCCTCCCCTGATGACGGTTTGAAAGTGGCCGACCCCCCCCCGCGTACTGTTTTTTTACACAGGTTTCCCCGGAGTTGGGTTTTCGCTTGCATTTTTTTCCAAAATGCTGCTCTCGCTGCAGCGCTGGCCTCATTTCCGCGCTTCCGCTCGTTCCGAATCGTGCTCTCGCTGCAGCGCTGGCCTCATTTCCGCGCTTCCGCTCGTTCCGGATCGTGCTCCCGCTGCAGCGCTGGCCTCATTTCCGCGCTTCCGCTCGTTCCGACTCGTGCTCCCGCTGCAGCGCTGGCCTCATTTCCCGTGCCATGCCACGGCATGCAATGCAATGCTAGGTTGATACTACGCTTTGCGGTGCTCTTCTACGCCATGCCATGCCGTGCTCTACAATGCATCGCGTACCCTTTCGGGATCATTGCCCTGCTTGACATCCGACTGTGCGAGTAGAGAGAGGGGATCTGCGCCATGGTAAGGGATGGGAGGGAGGGGCAGGATGTCAGATATGACGCGAGCGCACCTGGCTTGTCCCCTCCCCCTCCCTCCTCTCCCCCTCCAGCCCCTCCTCGTCCTCCTCCTCCTCCCCTTGGCCTCGGTGGAGCCCCGGCGGGCCCCCGGCCCCGGTGAGGAAAAACTCGGAGGCCAGCGGCCGGCACTTCGGAGCTCCGCGCGGACTTCTCGGATCGGCGCCTGGGCGCCCCGTGGCGGCGCCTCCAGCGCCGCCCCTGGCGCGCTCCGCGCGCCAGGGGCGGACGAGGAGAGGAGAAGGGGAAGGGGGAAGGGCAGGACGAGGGAAGGGAAGGGAAGGAGAAGGAAGGCGTAAGGGGGGAGGGGGGAGAGAGGGAGGGACGGGCGGACAAGAGGAGGGATCGGAGAGAAGGAAAAGGCGGGAGGGGGGGGTCCGGCGCGGACCCAAGATCACCGAGCGCGTTCCACTACTCGCAAAGTGCCTGCTCGCAAACGGCCGAAAAGCGTATCTCTGTTTCGACGAAAAATTTGCCGTAGATCCCCTGCGGCGGATCCAGGCCATGTGCGGATCCAGGCCATGCGACATCCGCTCGGACCGTCGAAAGTTTATGTTTGTGTCGTTTTTTTTCCCCTCTACTTGGGAGGGGGGGTCTCGCGCGGACCCAATAGATCCGCGCGGACCTCCACGAGTTGATGCCTGTGCCTTGCCCTTTGGGTCATGCTGGAGTTAAGTCGGGCGTGCCCCTCTACAGGGGGAATGTTCAAAAAAAGTCAAGACATAGTCTCTGGGGACGACTCTTCGGTTTTAGTCTGGAATCTATTTTTTTGCACGTTCTGTTGAACTTTTTTTTGTCAGTCGTCCAGAATCCACCTCTAGGAGGGCACGCCCGACCTAATGCTTGTCAGGAGGGAAAAAAACACACAGACACAATTCATCGTCGATCCCCAGGAAAATGTGCGAAACTATGGGGAGTGGGGGGGAGGACAGGACCCCAGAAAATATGGGAAACATGGGGAATGTCTTATTTGTGTGTATTTCTTTGTGTGTCCTGGGGCCCCTTTAGCTTGTGCCTTGCTTCTGGGTCGCGCTCGCAGCTCCCCGCGGCCCCGCGCGGCGCGCACCGGCTCAAAAAAGTCTCTCGGGTCCACGCGCCCGCCCCGTCGGGTGTGCCGGACGACGTCCGCACCGGCGGTGCTCCGACGTACGTTCCGACGAGGGCATCTATACACCTTAGGCGATGCTTAAGAAAACTTGAATTTTCGGCCAGAGTCTCGATGATTCTTAACTTCTATTCAAGTTCTCGGCCAAAACTTGGGTTTTTATTCAAGTTCTGAGACGATGAATTTCTAAACCCATCATTTCTTAAGCATTTCGCAGGGTGTACACCACCACCGTGTCAGGCCAGGGCCATCCTGGGCCCCAGGATGGTGTATTTACCCTCCTGGCCTCGGCCAGGAGGGCGTGTACACTCTGCCAGGGCCAGGATGTCCCTGGCATGGCACGGTGGTGGTGTGTAGATGCCTTCAGCGTATACGTCCGACGCAGATGCGGCGTGGGCCCCACGTAAACGTAGGTCGGGCGTGTCCCTCCTCCGGAGGAAGATTCAAAACTAGTCAACAAAATAATCTGGGGACGATGTTTTGAGTATTTTTGAGCATGTGTTGGTTATTCATTTTTTTGAACTATTTCTTATTTTTTCGGTCAACAAATTCGCCTCTAGGAGGACCCGCCCGACCTAAACGTAAATCCGACGCGGACCCGACGTGTATCCGACGCAAACCGAATCTCAAGTTGCCGCGCGAGGCCTCCAGGGTTCGCCTGGTGGCTTTCCTGCTCTCCTTCCGCCGTCCTCCGCTCCGCCTTCTTCTCCTGCCTCCCCGCCGCTGTCGTGCCTGCTCCTGCGCCGCCCCCACGGGGGCCCAGAGAATATACGCCACCACCACGTCGATTCCTCCTCTCTCCTCTTTCCGGCGAGAGGGAGGGGGGGAGGGAGGTGGTGGTGGTGTATATTATTTGGGCCCCCTGCCCCCAGACCCCCTCGCGGCGTGACGGAAGTCTGGACGGAGGGCTTTTGGCCGGTTTCGGCCTCTGGGGTCCCTGGCCAGGCCCCTGGGACCGTCGAACAATTCTTCGGGAGGGAAGCCCGGCCCTGGGGAGAAAGGGTCGGGCCTTCCGGGGGCCCCGTGTGGAAAACATCAAGACGCCGGGGATGTCTGTGCTCCTTCTCCATCTTCTTTCGGCGCTTGCGCCCTCGGCGGCGCCTCATGCGTGATATTCCCGGCTTGCCCAGCGGTCCCCAGTCTCGCGTCGTGGCAACGTTTGGGCGGTGGCTGAGATGGGGGAAAACGGCGACCCTCGTCGAGGCCGAGGTCGAGTACAAGAAGGCGGCCGAGGAGGCGGCCAAGGCGATCGAGGACGCTGCCCTGGAGATACGCCTCCAAGCTCTGGAGGCTGGCGCGGAGCAGGCTGCCGCACGGTCGGGGTCCCCCGAGGCGGGCTCGTCGAAGGAGGACTCGGCGGAGAGGAAGGACAAGCCGATGCCCATGATGAGGATGTTCCAGGGCATGGAGCTGGAGAAGAAGCTGGAGAGCGCGGTGAAGCGGAGCATCGCGGTGGAGTCCACCTACCTGCGGAAGGCGTCTGCGGCGCTCGACGGCCCCGGGGCGACCGAGGAGCGGAAGGGCCTCTACCGCCTGGTCACCGAGCGTCCCTTCACCTGGGACCCGAAGGTTCGGGCAGGAGATCGACTACATAGTTGATTTACCCCAAAATGGTTTTCCTCGTCGAATCTACGAGAATTGTACGCAGAATGTTCTTAGATCTACGAACATTCTGAAGACATATCGTCGGTTCGGCGAGAACTCCAATTTTGGGGTATATCAATTCTGTAGTCGATCTCCTACTCGAAAGGTGGCTCCGCTCGAGCTGCCTCGCTACGTGCGCGCCAAGGGGGGTCCCGTCGACCCCAGGGGCAGCCTCTCCGACCCGGCCGCCGCCTCCAGCGGGCACGCCGGCGGCGAGCCGCCCGTGTGGTACGTGCTGGAGTTCTTCGGGGACATCCAGGCTTAAGTAGGGCCTGTCCCTCTACAGGAGGAATAGTCAAACATCATATTATAACAATAGCCTGGGGACGTTTTTTTGTTAAATTATGTTTGGCTCCATTGGATTTTTTTGTTTGATTTAGTTTGTTTGTTTGTTGTTGTTGTTGTTGTTGCTGTTGCTGTTGCTGTTGCTGTTGCTGTTGCTGTTGTTGTAGTTGTCGTTGTCGTTGTCGTTGTTGTTGTTGTTGTTGTTGTTGTTGTTGTTGTTGTTGTTGTTGTTGTTGTTGTTGTTGTTGTTGTTGTTGTTGTTGAACATTATTAATTCTAAAGAATAATTATTGTTGGGCCCCCTGGTGCACGCCCCCCCCGCCGCGCCTAGGCCGCAGCTACATTTTCATCATTTTCGTGAGGAAGCCTCAGGTAAAACGATGGGGTCCAGATCCGGTTGTTTTGTTCCCCCCCGCTTTCCCTTGCAAAAAACACTATAAAATGACATTTCTTGTTCTAATATAATCAAATTTCAAGAATCCCTTGCAAAAAATAAGGTAAAGTGGACATTCGCGCGCGCAAGACGAAATCCTTCCAAAAGCTTAGTGTTCGGAGCGATTTTAACATAAAAACATCAAAAAACCAATGGTTTTTCAACAAAAAAATGTCAAAATCTCATCCCGCGCGCTCTTGCGGATTCGTAGGAAACCCAACACTTTTTAAACATTTCTGTCAAACGGGCTTTTGCGAGCAACTTTTTCGAACTTCTGCGACAACGGTTGCGCACCTGCCAGGGCCATCATCCCTGTCAAATAATACCATGCGGGACACATTCGTTTTTTCTTCGCGCGCGCACGCCGAAATCTCCAAAAACCATTGGGCTTCTTAAGAATTTTAGCACCGCGCATCATAAAATCACACGAATCGCACCGTAGGTCCTCGAAAAACACCTGCACGACTTTTCAAAATTTCCACCCGCGCGCGCTGTGTACCCCACGCCAGTGTAGTAGCCACGGTCGTCCGCACGCCACGAAGTGAAGTGTCCCAACGTCATAGGGCGGGAAGCTGGGTTTGGGTGGTCGCGAAGAGTCGTTTGGATATTTGGTAGAGCTTGTAATGCCCCCCCACGAAGTGGGGGTATTGCCTGGTGTCGTATGAAAACCCTGGCACTGGGGAGAACACCACGCGTTCGGGTAAAATGATTGTTGTTGTTGTTGTTGTTGTTGTTGTTGTTGTTGTTGTTGTTGTTGTTGTTGTTGTTGTTGTTGTTGTTGTTGTGTTTTTTCAAACTTTTCATTTTTCGCCCAAAGTCCGGCTGTAGGGGGGCATGCCCGACCTAAATCCAGGCCTCGCAGGTGGAGCAGCTGCGCCAGGAGGTGACGGCGGTGGTGGGCAGCGCGAACCCCTCGCGCGGCGACGGCGTCGTGCTGGTGCTGAACTCCGGCGGCGGCACCGTGACGGGCTACGGCCTCGCCGCGGCGCAGCTGATGCGCCTGAAGGCCGCGGGCCTGAAGCTAACCATCTGCGTGGAGCAGGTCGCAGCCTCGGGCGGCTACATGATGGCCTGCGTCGCAGACCGCCTGGTCGCGGCGCCCTTCGCCGTGCTGGGCTCCATCGGGGTCATCACGGACATCCCCAACGTGTACGACCGCCTGAAGAACGAGGGCATCGAGTTCCAGACCGTCACGGCCGGGAAGTATAAGCGCACGCTGACGCCGACCAAGAAGGTGACCCCCGAGGACCTTGGCTGCCTCGATACGCCCGTTTTGAAACGCTGCGTGTTGGCTGAGCATATTGGCCCACGTTTTGGCGAACGTATCGCGTCATACCCACGTTTTAAGTCAACGGGCTGAGCTCCGTATCCATACGCTGCGTGTTGCGTCTTGCGTATCGGGGCAGCCGAGCCGAGGACATGAAGAAGACCAAAGACGACATCGAGGCGATCTTCCAGCTCTTCCGGGGCTTCGTGGGGGAGCACCGGCCCCAGCTGGACCTGGACGCCGTGGCCACGGGGGAGACCTGGTTCGGGAAGGACGCGCTGGAGCGCAAGCTGGTGGACGAGCTGAAGGCGACGGACGACGTGCTGCTCGACCTGCGGCGCGAGGGCGCGGACATCCTCTACGTGAAGTACCAGCCGCAGGCGAAGAGCCCGCTGGGCCAGCTGCTGTCGGCTCAGGCCAGATGGGGCACGACGGGATGCTGGTACTCCCTCTAGGGATCGCCAACATGGACCGAGACGCGTGGATTGGCGGCAGGTCCCGTTTCCAGGCCAGGCCGGCGCGCTCTGTGGCCCAGTTGGGGCGGTACTGGCCTCGCGTTTGGGTGGGCGCTTTCCCCGGTCCGTGAGGTCCATTCGCTTCGTGGGGTGCACGTCGGGGATGTGGAGAGTACGTGAGTTTGGGCACTCCTGGGAGCCTTTTGCAGGCCTCTTGGGGCCTCTTTGGGGCTGCTTGGGGGCTTGTTTGGAGCCTGGCGAGGCGGCCTCTCTGGGCCGTCTTGGTGCCCCTTGGGGCCTCCAAGGGCCGTTTGGTGGGTCTCTTGGGCCGTCTTGAGGCCAACTTGTGTCGTCTTGGGGCTGATTTGGGTCCCTCTTGGGCCACCTTGGGGCCTTCTTGGGCCTTGCTGGGGCCCTCTTGGGGGCTTCTTGGACCTTCTTGTGACATCTTGGATGCATCTGGGGCTGTCTTGGGGTGTCCGAAGCCTGACAGGGCGAGAGCGGTAACATCGGTCCAACAACACCTCTGGAGGCCCTTTTGAGGATCCTCTTCGAACCCTCTCGGGCCGTCTTCAGGGCCTCCTGGGCAGTCTTGGGGTCCTCTTGGACCGGTCTGGGGTCATCCTGGGCCGTCTTGCAGCCAGATTGGGCCATCTTGAACCCGCCAGAGCCGTCTCGAGGCCCTCCTCGTTTTGTAAGAAGCCAGAGAAACACACACATTCTTGATTTGCCGTAGGTCTTCTGCGTTTTCGAGCCCCCGAGGGGTCCACCACCTTTGATCCGTGGATGGTGCGTGGCTCCAGTTTTGTGTGTGTGGTGTGTGGGGTGGACAGGGGAGGCTACATAGTATCATAAAGAAGAGCAGCATCTTGTGTTCCGTAATTTTATGTATGATTGGACACACGGGATCTGTTGCATTAGGATTAAGTCGGGCATGTTCCTCTACAGGAGGCGCGTTCAACAATAGTGCAATATGGTAATATGGGAAGTTGTGTATGTAAAACATATATGTGCATATACACATATATCTACATGAAATAAAAAGCACACACATACATATATAATAACCATATTTGAATTTTCGTTTGGCAATTCTTCCCTCCGAAAGCTGCCTGCAGGGGGACCTGCCTGGCCTAACATTGGGGCCTTCGTGAGCAACGCTGCCGCTCGGCGCACCACCTCCGGGCGTGGGCACCGGCGTCCGCCTGGCGCGCCAGGGCCACGGCTGCCCCCGATCCGTGTCACAGCCTGTGCCCGCCTCTGGGTGCACTCCAGCGCTCCTAATCGTCGCAGGAGGAGGAGGAGGAGGAGGAGGAGGAGGAGGAGGAGGAGGAGGAGGAGGAGGAGGAGGAGGCGGAGGAGGAGGAGGATCAGGAGGAGGAGGAGGAGGAGGAGGAGGAGGAGGAGCAGCAGGAGGAGGAGTTCGAGTCAGCCTGGCGGGTTCGAGTGCGCCTGACCCTGGTGGCCCTAGAGATTGCCAAGACTTCCAACGATCCTTACGGGACGACCCTCGAGTTGGATGCTGCGGCCAGTGCGCGGGCCGGGGCGAAAGCACTGGCTGCCCAGAGAGATGGCGTCTTCTGCACCTCCTCTCACTGGATCTTCAAACCTCGCAGGCCTAGAGGTTGACACCAACACCAACATCGGCGGTGTGCGTCCACCGAGGGAAGAAGATCCCGATCTCGATGCTGGTGGTCATATTCTGGCTTCCAAGGTGACCGAAATGATGCCCCCAGCACCGAAATCTAGGATCATCTTTCCCATGTGGAGGCAACCCCCTGTGTTGGTGTTGGTGCTCATTTCTAGGCCTCCAATCATCTTAAGTCTGGCGTGTCCCTCTACAGGGAGAATATAAATGAATCGTAAGTCTTCTGTTATCTTTGACAATTCTAGCACATTTTGTTTGCACTATTTTTGAACTTTCGCCCCAAATCCGCCTGCAGGAGGACACGCCTGGCCCAACTCTAATCAGGAGTCCGAGGCAAAGCTGGCCGTGACGACGAGTGCCAGTGTTTTGAAAAAGAAGTGCCAGATTCATGTGATTCTTTGCATGCTTGTATTGGTATTGACACAGTCATCTGCTGCTTTCATCTCTGGATCCTTCTCTCTTATGGATCGTCCTCGTGTGGATCCACCAAATAAAGAAACGAGAGATGGATCCAGAGAGCGATCAAGAGAATGAGTTCGATTCCATTGTTTTCAACAAAACCCCGCACACTGGCGCCCCCCAGAGGACCCAGACAAAGTCGACAGCAGGCATCGGCGGCGAGCGAGGGGGGGAAGCGAGAAGGCGAGGGCCCCCTCAGGAGGCGGCGGGGCTGCTCAGAGCCCCCGCGGCCTTCTGAGCATCTTTTTGGCGCGTGTCTTCGGGGAAGGGCCCAGGACATGCCCAGAAGGCCGGAGGACCTCCGAGCCTGCCGAGGAGGCCCACCCCCCTTCTCACTCCTCCCCGGCCCGCCACCTCTCGCTCCCCCCCCCCCCCCCCCAAAGCCGCGCCGCCGAGCGAGGGCGAGCAGGTGGCCAGAGGCCGTGGGGGAGGCCTCCTCCCCGCTGGCGGCCGCTCCGGCAGCGGTGGCGCCCCGTCCCCCGCGGGCTCTGCGCCGCGCGCCTCCGCGCGCCAGCCGGGCTGGTTCTTCGGGCTGGGGGGGAGGAGGAGGAGGAGGAGGAGGAGGAGGAGGAGGAGGAGGAGGAGGAGGAGGAGGAGGAGGAGGAGGAGGAGGAGGAGGAGGAGGAGGAGGAGGGGAGGAGGAGGAGGGAGGAGGAGGAGGAGGAGGAGGAGGAGGAGGAGGAGGACAAGGAGGACAAGGAGGACGAGGGGGAGGGGGAGGAAGAGGAGGAGGAGCAGGAGGAGGGGCTGCGCGGCGCTGCTGTTTTGTGCTTGGGGAGGCGAAAGCTTCGGCGGCGAGCCCGCGCCTCAAACTCTGCTCCGGATCTCCTTAGGATGAGGTCGGAGGATCGCGCCGCATCGCCGATGCACCGGCGATGCGGCTCGATGCGGGGTCCGACTTTCTCCATGCCGACGTCGCCGATGCATCGCCGACGTCGCCCTGTGCACCGCCGACGCATCGCCGATGCATCGGCGATGCGGCGCGATCCTCCGACCCCACTTGCTCGGACCCCATTTGTCAGAAGCCAGGCGAAGGCTGGCAAGCCCGTGGTTGCCAAAACGGAGCTCTGGGATTTTTTTCCCTTCCGGGAAGCAGCCCGTTTATGATTTAGCGCGCTGAGTTTTATTCAGGAAATTTGTTGTCTTCTTCTGGGAAGACCAGTTTAGCAGCTACGGATTTGCCAGCCTTCGCCCAGCTTCCGAATCTGGGAGGCCTCTAAGATGGGTCCTTGGGCCCCTTCCATGGTCCATGCCAGGCAAGCTTCTCCAGCTGCGCCCAGGTCTTTACATTCTTTAATATGTATATATATATACATATTAAGTGCTTACTTGGAACAATGTATATATAATATCATACCATATACATATATATACATGAATGAATGACAGGTTTCAGTTTGTGATACTTTATTAATATTATGTATATACTTACGGATACTTCTCACTCGTATTATCACATATGTATATAGACTGTTGTTAAAAAACCAAGCATTTGCGGCCCAAGGGCTCCCAACCCCCTCCCCAGGGGGCCTGACTCGCACGGCGCTTGGGCGTCGCGTCATGGGGGCCAAGAAATGGGGCGGGCCGCGCGGGCTGCAGCAGAGGGGCCCTCTAGGGCCCAAGGGGGGGCCTTCAGGGTACGAGAAGTGCACCTTTCTCCCCGCCTCGATTCAACGCACGCCCCCGCTGGCGACGCCCACCGCGCTTTCCCGCCCGTGCCATTTGTGGTGCGCGCGTACCAACGCTCTGCCCCTGCTGGGCCTCGTCAGGACTCGGGTGACGATGGCAGCGGCATGCGAGCACGGCAGGTGCACATGACACCAGTGCTGCGCACCAGCGCTGTGGCAAGCGTACACATGCATGAAGCGTGCCACATAACATCTCCCCTGGCACTGGACGACTGCTGCTTCTGCCGCCGTGCCTCCGTAGGAAGTCGACAGAGAGGGCGGGGGGTGGAGGGCAAATCTTCCCCACCTGGTCCTGGGGTTAGGTCGGGCGTGTCTCTCTACAGGAGGAATATTCAAAAATAGTCAAACCTAGTCAGGAGACGATTTCTGTTTGTCCTGATTATTGTCGAGCATCTTGGGACTATTTCTGTCATTCGTGCAAAATCCGCCTGTAGGGGGACATGGCCGACCTAATCCTGGGGCCCGATAGCGGGCCACGAAGGCCGAGACCAAGGAAAATGAACTTGGCGCTGCCACAATTGGGGAAAGCATCCTAATTGAGTAGGTCGCTACGCAAGGAAGGCATTCCTTTGCACTATTTTGTTTTGGTTGGCATTGTTTGCCATTGCTTGGCAGTGCTTTGCACTACTTGGCATCGCTTGGCATTGCTTGGCATCTCCGTACATGACTTGGAACTCTTTGGCATTGCCTGGCACTGCTTGGCATCACTCGGCAACCCAGGGAACGCCTCGTCAGGCACAGAAAGGAAACGATGCAAGGGAACCTGGGGAACACGAGGGACCCAGGCGAGACTGGCCCCTGCAACACAATGAGGGGGTCAAGCCAAGGAAGCGGGGGAGCCTGGGCAGCGCCGGCCGTCAACAAGCAGGCATCAGAGACAAAGGATCCCCTTGAGAATTTGGGCACCGGCTAGGCAGCGCAGGCCTGGCACTCTCGCCGGTTGTTCCAAACCACGTGAGCGTGAGGGCCCTTGGGCAAGGCCAAAGTGGGGCGAGACCCGAGAGTGAATAAATCGTATTGTTGGGGACCAGAGAATATGCGAAACGAAGTCGTGGTCGTCGTGGTCGTCGTGGTGGTGGTGGTCGTTGTCGTCAGTAGGTCTTGCGCTGCAGGGTTCTCATGATGGTTAGAAAGGACTACGGAAGAGTCCCACAAGGGGGGCGGGGAGCCCGAGGACGATGGGTCCTGCAGCCGTTCCGCCTGAGACGTCCTCACAGTTTATTCAGGGATCGTGCTCTCGCCTCAGCGCTGGCTACGTTTTCGGTCTCGGCGGCCAAGATTCCTTGCGACAGGAAGCACTAAGGTGCCTATGGCCGTGCTCTCGCCTCAACGCGCTGGCTACATTCTTGGTCCGGGCGGCCGCGATCCCTGGCACAGAATACGCTGAGGTGCGCATGGCCGTGCTCTCACTCCTCCTCCTCCTCCTCCTCCTCCTCCTCCTCCTCCTCCTCCTCCTCCTCCTTCTCCTGGTCCCCCGTGGGCAGAAACGTGTCCGTATCTGCGGCCTCCTGGGCCGGGCCCCCGGGCCGCGACCCCACGGTACGGGGCGTCGCTTCGCGGATGCCTTGCGCGGAACGTATCCGTGCGACCGCGTGTCCGCGGGGCCGCGGCGCCTGTGCTCTGGCGCGCACCGGCAAGAGCTCGAGGTTCTGAGCCTGCTCCGCCGCCCGCGGCGTCCTCGCGCTCTTTCCCGCTCCCAGGCTGCGCCCCGCAGTGCCCTTCGGTGGCCTCCGACCGCGGCTCGGTGCCAAGCCGCTGCGACAAGAAGGTCCGCGGGATCGCGCCTGGGAGCCCCGACCGCGAGGGCGCGGATACCGTGCTCGCCGCGCGTGGGTCCCGTCTCCTCGCCGCTCCCGCTGCTGCCGGGGTGCTCTGCCGGGGCCACCTGTTTCTCCTCCAGAGGCCGGCGGCACTGCCCTGCCCCGTATTGGGGTGTTTTGCTGGGGCTGTTTCTTCAGGACGGTAGGCACAGCACGTACGCACATATCTATCTATCTATCTATCTATCTATCTATCTATCTATCTATCTATCTATCTATCTATCTATCTATCTATCTATCTATCTATCTATCTATCTATATATCTATCTATCTATCTATCTATCTATCTATCTATCTATCTATAAGCGTCGTTTCCCATGAGAACGAGGGGAAATATGGGGAATGGAGGGAGAGAGGAAAGTGCAGAAAACATGGCAAGGCATATGGGGAATCTGGGACTCTCTGTAGACGTATTTGTGCCTCCCTTGGCCTCGTGCTGAAACGCAACACGCACCGTGCTCAGAGCGTCCGTGTTGACACGCTGCGTGCTGGCTCGAGGAGCTGGACCACGTTCTGGCGAAAGTACCGCGCCAGGACCCACGTTCCCAACCTCCGTCTTGAGCTCCGCGCCAGCACGCCGCGGGTTGCGTGTGTTGCGCATCGGGGCAGCCGGCGGGGCCACCTCTCCTCCTTCCCCGAGGCTTAAGTCAGGCCTGTCCCTCTACAGGGGGAGTATCCACAAAGATAGTAAAACAACAGTCCGGGGACGTTTTTTTTGTTTTTTTTGTTTTTTTTTGTTTTTCCTTTTTCCTCTCTCTCCATTTTGGAGTATTTTTTGACTACTTTTTATTTTTTTGTCCAAAATCCCCCTGTAGGAGGACAGGCCCCACTTCACCCGAGGCCGGCGGCGCCGCCCCGCAGCCCGAGGGCGGCGGCGCGCTGGCGTGGTGGGCCGGGCGCCTCTTCGAGTTCGCCACCGGGTCGCCGCCGGGCTCGCTCGGGCAGCTAGGCGGCGGGGCCCACCCCCCGGGCAACGGCTTTGGGGATATATATATATATATATATATATATATATATATGTAGGATCAGGGTCGGAAACTGGAACATATACATGACCAGTGGCGGGCCGTTTTTCAATCCTGCGACTCTTCGAGGGTCGGCGACGTCGGGGTGGTCTGTTGTATACTTCTTCCCCGTTCTCCAAGGGAAACAACGAAACGTGTATACGCCAGGAGCCCGTATACGCCAGGATCCGCGTTCCCGTGCGAATTCCAGCGCAGGGTCCGAAAAAGCGTCGGTGTATAGAGTTCGTTTCCCTATCTGCCCCCACCCGCCCGCGGATAGCCGATAGGGGCCCCAGTGTAGCCCGCACCGCCCAGGAGCGTGCGGTTGTGCTGTCGGGGGCCCGTCGCCGCTGTGTCGGGGGGACGTGTCGCCAAGCGGGCCGGGCGCCTCTCTGAGCTCGCCGCCGGGTCGCCGCCGGGCTCGCCCGGGCAGCGGGGCGGCCGGGCCCACCGCCGGTGCCGTCGGAGGCAGGAAGTCTGCAGTACACGTCTCCAGGCAGGCAGCCTCGATGTCCGTGCATGGGACCCCTGGGACAGCGACGTGGAAGTCAGCTTTCGCCGCATTCGGGCTGCATCTGGGCTGCTTTCGGTACTTCCCTCTGCTCCTGCTTGCCCTTCCCGTTTCCCTTGCCCCTCCCTGTTCTTCTCGCCTCTTTGGTGAAGGGGCGAATCCAGTCCCAATCTGGTCCAGATCCGGTCCCACTCGTGTTCCAACTCTGGTCCAAGTCAGGCCTACATCGGACAGCGTTGGGGGCCACGTGAGCTTCCACGGAACGGGCACCAAGCGTAATGTCCTAAAAACGGGACGGCGTTTTTTTCGGACTCATTGGGCCCTCGCCCCAGGACAGCCAAAGAACGACTCGGGATAAGAAACTGGCCTTGGAAAAGGGTCGGGGCTTCCATGGACCGCGTGTTGCAGAGATCAGGACGTCGCACGTCTGGGTTTAGGAGCAACTCTGAGCAAGCGTTCCTGTAGGAGCGGGACCAGGAAAATTTGGACCCAGTACATCAAACGCAGTACTTGCCCATGTTGAGGCTGGGGGGTGGAGGGGGAGTTCGGTGCTTGCTAGTTCGGGCGCTGTTGCTGTACAGTTTTTCCACGACCGTGCGATCGAAATTCGTACGGAAGGGATGGGCACGCAGACCCACACAGCAGTTCCTGTCCTTCCTGGACGGGGCTGGCTGTCGGTGTCGCCGCGGACGCTCCCCACCTGGTGCAAGACGTCGCCTGCCCAGCGTCTGCTGTCGGTCTTGGGCACCCACCTCGGGCGTGCCGACGCCCCCGGGGGAGGGAGCCCGTGAGCGACGAGCATGGTCCTGCGGAGCGTTCCGCCCGGCCCCCCCTCGCGCCGTGAGAAACCGTGGCGGAAGGCTTGTGGCACTCCTCGGCGTCCTCGGGGCCCTCCGTGGGCTTCCCGGGGGCCGTCGAGACACGACCAGGGACGAAGGATGATGATGATGATGATGATGATGATGATGATGATGATGATGATGATGATGATGATGATGATGATGATGATGATGATGATGATGATGATGATGATGATGATGATGATGATGATGATGATGATGATGATGATGATGCTGATGATGATGCTGATGATGATGATGCTGATGATGATGCTGATGATGCTGATGAGGATGATGATGATGAGGATGAGGATGAGGATGAGGATTGATGAGGATGAGGATGATGATGATGATGTGATGATGATGATGATGATGATGATGATGATGATGATGATGATGTGATGATGATGATGATGATGATGATGATGATGATGATGATGATGATGATGATGATGATGATGATGATGAGATGATGATGATGATGATGATGATGATGATGATGTGATGATGATGATGATGATGATGATGATGATGATGATGAGGACGAGGAGGAGGAGGAGGAGGAGGAGGAGGAGGAGGAGGAGGAGGAGAGCAGCCCTGGGAAGGGGCCCTGAGGCCTCGGGAGGTCCACGCCGCGCAGACCCCGCGGGGCGCCTGGGGCCCGGGCAGACCCACGAGAGGGGGCCTCGCCTTCCGCGCCTCGCCCCCTCGGAGGAAGCCCCCGCGGAGGGCCGGCGCGCGCAGGGCCCGCGGAGGGCCCGCGGAGGCGGCGGCTCCGCCGGCGTGCTCCGCCGGCGGAAGGGGAAGCGAGGCGTCCACGTCGACAGCAGGCGGGAAGAATGCACACAGACACTTCTTCGGATCCTCTCCTGGGCCTCTCGAGAGGTCGCTTTGAGGTTTTCAATCGGCCTCTCCGAAGCCCTCCATGGGCAGCTTCGAAGTGGGAGGAGGAAAAGGTACTCCAGATCTCGTAATAAAAGGGAGGGGGTCTGGACCCTCCAAGACAAGCCATTTCAGACCTCCCCCGCGGGAGAGCCCTCCAAGACATCGTCCCCAGACCCCCCAGGCCCTCCAAGATGGCCTGGAAGAGACCCCCCCCTGGAATGAGACCCCCCTCCCTTTATTACGAAATCTGGAGTACACGCCGGTCGTTGAAAGTAGGTATTTCTGGACTCCTAGATCCCAATCTTTTTTAAGCGCCTTCCATCTCCAAGAATCGAGATGCTTTGGCCGCGTTTCGTTGTTCTCTGGGAGGGCCTGAACCCAACCTGCTTTATACGCCTTCCTGCTTTATGTTCTTACCTATTTTTTCCGATCGACGTGTAATCGTCGATTCCCTAGAAGATCTGGGAGAATATGAGAAGCGGGGGGGAAGACAAACACCCAGAAGATCTGGGAAGATATGGGGGATCCTGTTATTTGTGTCTATTTGTTCGTGTGTCCCAGGGCCCCTTCACAGTAGAAAGCAAGGAGCACCTCAAAGCGATACGTCCACGTTCCTGCGAGCTGCCCATAGAAGCCAATGAATACCTCATGTGTTTATTCCAGAGGCTTCCGACGTTCCGCCGACCCCCAGAAGAGTCGAAGAAGAAGCAGCAGTACAAGCATCAACTTTTGAGCCAACAGTTTAT